AAGAAAATAAAACAATGCATTACTCTACTTCATTATCGCACGTATCGTTTCAATATCTTTATGTACGCTCCTCCTCGTCGAAGACAGATTTATTCATTGAAATATGTCTTCCACGGAAAAAAAAATTCAGCTTTGCGATAAAGACGATTGTTTCACTCGATATCTCCGCAAGAAGCGTCATTACGGCGCACGCCACGATCGCACGACAAGGAGATACCGCCTGGGGACATAATTTCAAGCCGGAAGAAAATCTCTTACGTTTTGCATCGAAGCGAAAATGGATCGCGACTTCATCTCCATCGAACGCGAGACTGTAATTGGCCCGAGAGTAATAATTTAGATACCGCTGGATCGGCGTTATTAGAGCACTAACGCCATTAGAGCAAACTTGGTCAGATGTACCGATGTATGAAAAACGTTATCAACGTTGTGATATTCCCCAGTAAATAGCATATAAATCATCATGCATCTCAATTTCGTTATCCATTTTCTTTCCAGTTAATTACAAAATTAAGAGTAATAACATAATGCGAAAAGATTAAAAAGATTAAAATTTAACTTGAGTGAACATTTTAATTTAAGATTTTGCAAGTATATTATTTGAAGCTCTTCGGAAGAAAAATCCTAAAGTCCCTAATGGTACATCGCAGGTAGAGCGGGTCAAACTGAGCAGAAAAGTCCTCTATCATTTTGCGATTTTCATAATTAATAACAAATTATTATTATGGATACAAGCAGTGTAGGAATTAGGAATTCCATTAGGAATCAGACTGTAATATACATATTATCACGACTTTGAAACTAAGATTATTGTAATATCAATATTCAACTTTTGATCTGGTAAATGTATTTCTCGAGATATTTGAAAATAAAAAAAACTAACAGTTTTCTGATTTTTCTTCTGCAATTTATTAAGCGTGATATCCAAATTCAGCAGAATGTTCTTTGCCCGTCGTGATCAATGAAGTAAGTTAAGAAGATTCTTCACAAAATTTCGCCCTGTTCGAATTTATCGGGATTATACTTTCCCTGCGCTTACACGCAAGATTTCACCGAGTTATCATTCCCATTATCGCTTTCGCCGTGAAACGAGCGCTGCCCGAAGTAGAAAGACCACGGTCGTTAGATCATACCTTGAAAAAGCTTCGACGCGATCAACCAAGTGTATAAGAAGAAGATTAAGCCTCGCCTCGGTCCTCTCGAACTTTGAGAACTTTAATGGGGGGCCGAAGTAATCGAAAGCTTAAACATTTCGCAAGAAATACAGTGGATTGAGAGATTTTAAATTCGCAAGGGATGTTAAACTTCCATGATCTATCTTTTATCCTGCTTTAATATACATGACACATATTTTTTACTTAGCCAACGTCGAGAATATAGAAATAAATTTCTTATTAGATATGATACTTATAAAATTTTTAAGAAAAAATTATAAAAAAAAAAGAGAACGATATAAAACATTCCTGTTTAAAAATAGAAAAAAGAAAAAGCGCGCAATGTATTTTGTACGAATATATGTATATCTATCTTTTGCTGTTATATTACGGAGAATATGGATGATTTAAATAAACGTATGATTTAAATAAACGTATAACTCATTTAAATTGAAACGCGCCACTTAATATGCACGACCGCAAAGGTTTGAAAGTTTTCATTAACAAAATTAAAAATAAAGATCCATAATAAATATTAATAAAAATGGAAAATGATAATATATAAAATTAGTATAATTAATCTCTTGCGGTCAGAAATTATGCTTTGTCCTATATCAACTCAATCCGCCAACTAATTCAGCCACATTTTGTGCCGCATATCTTCCTTTAATTTATACTATTATATAATCAGATAAAGCGCGCAATGTATTTTGTACGAATATATGTATATCTATCTTTTGCTGTTATATTACGGAGAATATGGATGATTTAAATAAACGTATAACTCATTTAAATTGAAACGCGCCACTTAATATGCACGACCGCAAAGGTTTGAAAGTTTTCATTAACAAAATCAGCATGACAAATATCATATATGATCATATATGTTGAGAGCGAAAAGTTTATATTATCTTATGATAATCTATATTTTTAATGTAATGTGAAAAATGTGTTTTCTTGTTTTCTGTAACGTCGATTTCTTTCACAGAAAGAAAGTGATTGAGCTTTCTAAAGGAGAAAAATTTTTCAAGAGAAGCGTATTAAAAATTAAAAATTCCCCGCAAATGATCCACAAATGATCGCGATGCTAATTCCATCAATTTCAATATTTTCTTCGCGTATATTCTATTAGACATCAGACAATACAAATAATTGTTATGTGCTTGCGTAACCACGAGTAAAAAAGTCATTATTTGTGCAAACACGCGGTTGAAGCAAAATTTATATGCGTTGTATATACGGTAAATATTTCACATCGGGAATTAGTGTATATTCGTTGGATGCGCGTGTGGTCACGGGAGGGAGAGGGAGAGGGGAGAAGGGTGGGGGAGGGGAGGACCGCTACATATGTTTAAATGCTGAAATGAAATGAGAGGGTGGTTCTCACTCGCAAATTCATCATCGCTCGATTAAAGTCCCATCCATTACGATTGCGAAATGTTACGCCTGAAATTTCCGCGTCGTATTGAAAGCGGGATTTTTCGATGTGTGTGATGTGCGCGCGTTGCTGGAGTTCACGTTGCCACGTGAAAATCGAATAACATGAGAACACGCCGCCATTAACTCGGGGCGATTTTTGAATTGCTGTAATTTAAATAGCAAAAAGATCCGACGTTTGTGTAAATCGATAAATCCATGAAGTTACCACTATGTGCGAGCGTAACTTATAGACGCAACTGTATAGACGATCGGTAATTAATAAACGCTTTTGTTCGACACCGTTAATCGAGAATATGGGATGATTTCATTTCATTAATATCATTGTATCGACAACGTTTGTTTCTATGTGCCTACGATACATTGATATTTTATGTTTTATTCGTCTCGCTGTAAATACTGGGATGGAATAATGCAAGATGAGATTTATTTATTAAATATCCAAAATGTTTCGATCAAGTGATGTCGCATATGATGTCGGAAATGTAGAGTAGATGTTTACTAGCCAATACGTGATATTCAAAGCTTTGATCTCTACGACTCCAATTGAGGCATAAAACAGGATATCTGAATACCTGCAAATATTTTTCATAAATACAAACTTTAGTCAAAGCTTTTCACGTGTGTTATGATATTTGTTTTTTTTTTTATATATAATATTATTCTGAAAAATTTTTTAAATTAAAAGGTTACTTAAGATAAAATTTAATCAATCTTTATACTGCTCTAAATGCAACATCATATATTTTTTATTCCTTATTGACTGAGGTAGTCGAAATAAAAGATTTACTAAGATAATAAATTTACATTATAGAGCTTAAAAGAAATATATCCTAGAATAACCTAGAGATTATATATTGCTATGCAGGTTGCCGCATTTATCGTTGGATATTAATATGCGTTGATGGTAAAATCGTTAACGGCACTTAGAGCACTCTCGCCACGAGCAGGATCAAATGCAAGCCAAGTATCAAATAAAATTTTCAAAGTATCGCAATTTATATGAAACACAAAACATAAATATCGCAGAAAATAAATTGCATCCGCAATTAACTACCACCAGGATAGAATTTCAGACAAGCGCTGCTCTAAATGATGGTAAAATACAAAATTTACCTCCAGGTTTTTAACTTCGTGCGAATTATTCCGTGCAAATTTGAACCGGCGCGACACGCGTACTGAGAAGAGAAACAAACCGTTTCGGGATTATACAGAGCATGCTTCCGGCAACTAGAACAGCCGCTCTGTTTTAAATAAAGAGAGGAAAATGTCGAGGAAAAATGGGTAGAAGAGAATCTTGTATGCGGTTCAGCGCTATCTAATCTCCTATGAACTTATCGTCTTCACAAAGATGCACCTGCAACATTTTTCTTTGCCATTTTTTTTTCTCACAATTCACGTAAAAAACAGTAACAGGGGTTTATCGCAATTTCCAAAAACCCCCTGTGTACGCGAACACACAGAATTAAAAAAATCAGAATTAAAAAAATTGATTGGATCTGCGTGATTGGATACCTAAATCAGTGCGACTGATTGATGCGCTTAAATTAGCACGCAATTAATCAATTGCACAAAGGAATGTGAAACGTAAAATATGTTGTTACCCTGAATAAATAGTACAGAAATATAAAGTAACTATTCCGAGGAGGCACATAAATACATAGGTATATAGGCAAATTTTCGTGTTTCTTTCTACCGTTTCTCAAATGCAGCACTTTTCTGTATAATACTTTCATACATTTTTCAATTACATAATTGATTCAATTTCAATGCGGCCCGATGCAAAGAAAGATAAAAACAAGTGGACAAAGCGTAAATAATTGTATTTCTTCCATAAACTTTGATCTCATGATGGATTGGGTGGCGTGCACAATGTAATTCCGAGTTTAATCACACGTAACGGAGCACGTAACGTTTACACGTTAACGAGTTTATTATGTTTATTATAATTATTATAATGAGCTTATCATTAACAGAAATGTCGGACACAGTGCTCATAATAAATTGTAGGAAAAGATCGTTAGTTTTTACGCCAGCAATATTTTCATTACAGCTACTTTAATCTGTATGATCAATGATCAATTCCAATATATAAATTTAATTTGAATAATACATAATTCCATATAATATAATTAAAATTTAATATATTTGATACATATAAATTTCATCATATGAATTTATGACTTTAATCGGAAAAATATTAACATTCAAACACTTAACACGAAAATCTGCCTTCTATAAGAAACCATAAAAACGGATACGGAAAACTAATATATATATATATATATATATATATATATACAAAGCCATTTTTCGATTTACGTTTCATCGCGCATCAAATGCTAAGGACTAAAATTACGATAATCGCAAATGATCAAGATGCAAGAATCACGATCGAGAATCACTAACCTCGATCCTCCATGACCGTTAGATCGCCTACCGCTGCTCTCCTCGTCCTCGTCGTCATCTTCGTCTCTCGAAGTAGCCAGCGACTGGGGAACCGAAGAGGGAGCACTGCTTCCAGAATCGGGCCCGGGGCCCATCCTCGAACCGGAAGTACCGCTGCAAGATGGCACCAGACCACCCTCTCCCTGCCCTTCTTCCTTCTCCGCCCGATCCACCTGTAATTTCATAAACATCCAAATTTTTGTAAAAATATCCTCACATTTATGAATATACGTTGATCGTGGATAAGCAGTTAATTTTTCTTTTCTTTGAAGATGTTAGTTATTTAAATTCATGCTTTGTGCAAATGGAATTGTAACAGAAGTTTCAATTCCATGTTAAATAATATCAAATTCTATTGAATCAATTTCTTATCGAGGAAAGGCATTGTAAATTTTCAAATTGATTTACGCAAATCACTGGTAGGCCGTGTGACATTTCGTACGCAAAAACATAGCAAGAACGTGGCGACCTTTTCACCATATCGCCCACACAGATATCGAGAGATTATTGGCTTAGTAACACGAAGGCTATAAATACTGCAAACGACACGCATTCAATAACACACAATATTTGATCATAAAGCCAGAAAGCGTTACTATTTAAAAGGAAAATTTCTTTGCGCCTTCCGGCATTTTTCAATACAAAAATGACTAGATCGGAAAACCGTATATTATAATAACGCAATGCTCAGCTTTAATGTGTATTTCTGTTTAAAGTAATTTTTTAAAGTTAAACTTTGATATCTTGTATTTTTAAGCCGATATCCTATTCCATTATGTTGAAGAACCGATCACGTATCCAGCAGTTCATCAAACCAGATCCAGATCAAGTAAACAGACGTGAACAAACGTGAACAAACAACTTGCTTCAACGAATGAGAACGACGTCGTGTACTCGTGTTGTTCGCAACTCCCCATTCGCTTGGTCTGCATTCGACTTCAAATCATTACTCGAAAGGGTATTGGAAATTCGCGTTTTTTTTTGCCTTTTGACCGATCATACATGAAAAAACTGCCGCAATAATCGACAAGTTTCTGATATTTCGATATTTCGCAATGGAAAACGTCATGTCTGATCAGGACGAAGCTGCCAAAATCCTAAGCATTGTGATTTCCGACTGTTTCCATCTCATAAACCACCGATAATCGATACTAGACAAGAATCATGGCTAATCGCGACCTGCAATATCCGATCGGAAGTCGTAAAAGTTACATGATGGGTTACCTGATCAGAAGAATAGGGAACAAAATGGCGAATACGTAACGTAATTTGCTTACTATATCGGATACTTTTAATTAGTGACGGAGAATAGTAACAGGAGACGAAGCAAAATTGATTAGGCTACATAGGGTAATTCTACGCTAAAAATTGTAAACGTATTCTCTATGACTATCTCTATTAATCTGATATCAATTTTACTTAACAAAAAACTTATAGGCCCATCATATGTCATCATTTCTATATTTTTCATATTTTTTTAATTTTTAGGTATATTAGATATTAGGTATATTTTTCATTCTTAATAATTTGGTATCTTGGTCAACTTCAAATTAAAATTCTGTAAGTTTTTTTAATAAAAAAAGGTGTTTTATATATAAAATGAGATAAAAAATAAACTTATTTCACAGTTAAAACTTGATTTATAAAAAACTTTTCAGTTCTATTAAGAAAGGATTTTCAATTTTGTTAGATAATCTCTTTGTTAATTAAAATCGCAAGCTGTGGGACGCCCAGTATACTTCCTACAGTTCCATGTGAGCGAGAGAAAATACGTAATTGCATGACAAAGGACGCGAAAGTTGTTTACATTCAAAGCCAGAGACGATGCAAAACGTAGTCGTGAACTCACTGTCGGAGATTATAAACTTTAATTAACGAGATGTTACACTGTCCATCCTTTAATAAACGACATTCTCTTCCAGGTAACTAATAAATTCCACAAATATACTTTTTTTCTCGATCTACAAATTTTTATAAAGATATAAATATAAAATATATCTTTAATATTTCGCATTAAAAAAATTTTGCATTAAAAATATTTCATACTCCAATAATTAGCGCTTCAATGGATGCTGGCATAAATTATTTGCACAAATTTCCGTTACATTCTCCAATATATGTACATAATCAAACCTACGTAGCTCAGGAAGTAGATTTGTCTTTCGATACCACTGCGGTCAGTTAGAACCTGCGTTTCGTTTTAGGATCCTCTCTCGGTTAGATCCTCCTGTTCGATACGGGTTAAGTCTCAATTCGGAGCTTTACCAGCTTAACTAACTGACCGAGACCGGAAAATATATCGCGTTCTCTCTGAGAAAATATCCCCTTTGCTGTAACTCAGTGGAACATTTTGTTTTGGAGACAAGCATCTCTATGTTTGTAGAGAAATAAGGATTATCGTTTTTCAAGAATATTATTATTCCTAAAAGTGTCTGATTGGATTGTAATTTTTTTTTTCTCTCTCGTATTCGCCAATGTACAAAGAGATTTTTATTTTCTCACAAACTCGCAGCCACGTCTCGGGCGCGTTGAAACGCGAATTATCCGTTTGTATAGTCGAAAGAGTTACGCGCACGAGAAGTGTTTAATGTGTCGAGAGAAAAGCGATACGCAGATGAATTCCCCCAGATATTTATATGATATATCCAGTGCATATATGAATCCGACAAACAAGCACAGATATATGTATATGGTACATATATATAAAACATACAGATATATATGTGTATATGCATAAGAATTGCGTTTGCACATGCATATATAAATCTGTGCACTGCTGCAGCTGTCAGTGATGCCGCAGCCATTTCGATCTACATATTCGTCTGAGTTTTACCGAAGCGCGCACGCACACGTAGAGATGCCACGCCTGTAGATTTCATTTTATTTCAAATTCAGATACATCGGAGGTATCGGAGCGTGTTAAACAAAACTGCTAAACTGCCACCTCGTTTCGTGCTCGCTTCTTTCGGGTGTGCGGAAACGGCCGACGTTAATATTCGTTCGAAGGGAATTAAATGAAAGCTAAAATGGAACTGGGCATCGTCGTTGCTTTTATCAGCAACAAAATATCTCGCGCTCGTGTCTCATATTATTATATTTACGTTATCGCGTTATCGGGAGGTTTCGAAAGTAACCGAAGTTACGAGCGATGAAGAACGGGTGGTCGCGCCGTCGTAACGCGATGCAAAGCGTAATGTAATCGTGTAACTTTCGCGGGCGGAGTAGCCTCTCACAATCGAGTTTACCATTTACCTTGAAACAGTAACGCCGATAGAAGAACCCCGATAGACATACGCGTCCTCGTGACGACACGCGTGATGATTGATGAAATAGTTAGTCGGCGTGAGCCAATATGGTTGCGCGTCCCGAATTGGACACGGTGCCATTGTTCTCCACCCTCGTTTCAAGTGGGAGCTTAATGATGCCCGGATAATAATAATAATAATAATAATAATACCCCTGTGCTAACGTACAGCCTCCTCGAATATGATATTTTGTTGTATCATCTACATCATTATAGCTGTGCGCTCTGTGAAGCTATATTGTGTAAATTCCGTTAACAGCAGCTCATGTTATAAAATGCGTTATTTTCTTCAGCCCTTAAATCCGTAGTTTATTATGTTTGGCACGCTTTCAATACTATACGGGCTAATATACAGACTGTATACGAGACATGAAACTTTCATTTTGATAAGACTTTACAATTCGATATTATCACGGAGAAAAAACACACTCTCTCTCTCTCTCTCTCTCTCTCTCTCTCTCTCTCTCTCTCTCTCTCTCTCTCTTTCTCTCCGACACAAAAAATGTTGCAGCTTTTAAATCTAAAATAAGCATAAAGGTTTTTCTCGATATATCATTCTTTGGAATTTTATTGCATTTATTCTATTATTATTCTGTTCTTCTTTTGTCACATAAATATCAACCATTTTATTTTCAAAATTATTAGCTAATATTAGATAATATAACATAGGTAATATAATATTATTAGGTAATATAAAAAAATCAAATAAGAAGCTTATTATATCCTTGTATTTTTATCATTCAATATTTTATCTAAAAACAACTCAGTTTTTTTTCTCACCAGCGAGATCATAATCTATTGAAAATAATAATCCATTAAGAATTTTTCATATTATATGTTTTAACATTATACGCGTATATGTGTGTATATCTATAAATCTCTGCAGTATATTTTATCGTTTTCACCATAGTGTACTTTCATTCAATCATAATATTACGGTCATCGCTCTAAGCATACTTTTATCAGAAAACCGGCGCCGTACTCGCAATTATCCCGAAATGGAACGCGAAATGTACTTCGCAATTTTACGTTCGCGAATGCCTCATTCGCTCGTCGAAACAGTATAATACGCGTTGTCCCAGTTTAAATCACATTTATGCGCATTTATATAACTGGATTTCTAGAGGGACGTAGGCGGTACCGATTATTAGCCGAGACTTTTTCGCCTCAAAAAAACACACGCGCGGGAAAGGTACCCAATTCGCTATTGTTCGTTCTCGATGTGCTTTTTTTTTGTCACCGTGACGAAAATTCTGCGGTGAGGGGGCAATTTGTTGCAGAGTCGCGACCGTAAATTGGGCGAACTGGGAACGCCGGTAATGTCGAAGGGTTGTCAATTGATTCACCCGATTGCGAACTAGAAAGCTTTTTTGTTCCTACAAAGAAAGACATTTTCGAATTCTTTCTCTCTCTTTTCGGAATTTCTTTCTATGGTACTTATTTGAAAAATCCTGTCAATTACAAAAATAAATTACAACTAATTTAAGAATTCTCAAATATTTATGGAACAATTATGGCACGCATAAACTCAACTTTTTTTTACGCAAAAAGAAATATTCTTCTTACCGTTTAAAATAATTTATTTTGCTGAATAAATTAGATACGATGAAAATTAACTTTAATTATGATAATTCACAATGGAGACAGCCGTAATACGTGAAAATATTCCTCATTACGGACAGATTTTAATGCCACTTAAGCAAGGATAAACTATGTCCAGAAATTGCAAAATTGATAAATGTAGTAAGTTTACATATTTAAATTTATATGAAGATGTACTTAAAAAGAACTTTATTAATTATGAACTTCTGCATTTATGCATTTCTTGCATGTATCGAGTTATCTCGCGATATCGTTTAACCAACTCCC